GGGGGGCAGGAGAAAAAGAGTTCCTAAAGCAGAACAGCTTAAGACCTTCTTGTTTAAAGGACACAAGAGACAGCTACAATTGTTGGCAATTGCCCTTGGAAAAAGAAAGCAATTGCTTTAACTGGGTTCTAAGTGTTCTGAACCCAGCAATGAACCTTGAGATCCACCTTTTAGCTGCGTTAAAGTCGAGCTTACTGCTGACTACTGCCAAAATCCAGATGAGCTCCAGTTCTTCAAAATCAAAGACTGCATTAAGCTTGCAGGCATCATCTCATCTCTCACCTTCTCCTTTAACAGCTGAGTTTTCTTCATAGCATAATTTGGAGGTGCTTTTCTGAACCTTTCCTTCTCTTTCACAATCTGTAAGATGCAGAGGAAACAGCAAGAATATGCAAATATGAAATGTCTATTTCAATACTTGAACACTAGAAGCAACAGATCAATGTCACCTAAGAAACGTACTTACTGCCACAGAATTTTACTCATGCTCTTTCTCTGCTGCATTTTTTAATTTGTGACTTGGTAATGAGCTACAGCTCCATTCCCCTCACTTACGACCTACAAAAATTTGATGCTAATCACGTTTGATCAGCATTAAGCAAGTATTAAACTGCAGAAACTGTGATAAATGCATCTATTACGATGCTGTTAGCTTTTCAGAACTTGAGAACTAAGTTGCCATACTCCGGTTAGGAGTTCAGAGCTCTGCAACACAAGTTCAAGAGGAGGTAACAGGGCACAAAGGATGAAGTAAAGCAGGAGTAAGCACCAAACAACAGCTGGATCACCAAGCTACTCTATCCAGTTATGCAACTTCATTTTGAGCCTTTTGTTTTCTTCTTCAGAAGCAAATACCAGGATCATTTTGCTTTGTAACAGCTAGTGCTCTACTCCATGAGTTCCTGTCACCTTTAAGCACTGCCACAGCCTCACTATAATGCACTGTTTACCTCCTCAATGTCCTGGTCATTAAACTTGTAGTTGAGGGCTTCTTTGATGGACACTTCTTTCTTGTTTATCTCATCTAGCGTGGGTAGCTGCATCCCAGCAGAGAACATCTGAACACAAGAGACAAAGAGGTTACTTTCCACTTAAAGTATCCTTGGCAGAAGGCTGCTAAGAAGAAATTAAAATCTGGCAAACTTACCGCTTCCTTCCACTTCATAAACTCACTTTCAGTAAATTCCTGATTTGAGACAAACTCCAAACGAAACACACGCGAATCACTGCCATGCCTGCAACAAGAAAGTGTAACAACATCCCTCTCCAATGGCACAGACCTGTGATCTTGGATCTATAGGTGTAAACTGATTCAAGAAGCCCAAAACCAGACACTTAAGGCTACTCTTGGGGCTTGCACACTACCTATTCCTAACTTTAGTCAGGTCAGCCACAGTTCAGAAGCTTACATCAGCTATTAGTAGTAATGCAAAGAAATACTAGACAGTGAGTCTGCAGGAAACAGGCACTTAGTTGTGGCAGTAAAACCCTCACACACACCTAAGCCTTACATACCCTATTTGGCATGATTTTTGGAAACACAAAGCTTCATGTTTGTACCAGTAGAAATAACCTTTAAGCAGTACTGAATTATACAATGCTGGAGCCAACCCCTATCTAATTTTTCATTCTTTGGCCAGTCAAAGCCAGAAATCCCTAAACATTTTCTGCAGAGCACTACCTTTGGCACTAGCACCTAAACTACTATACTGCTACTAACCAATGCTAAAATTAGTTGCCATGGTGTAAATTTCACTGAAAGCATAGAGCTCTCTCCTGAGATAGCCTAAGAAGCTATCGAATGTCACAATAGATTTAGATAAAATTTGGTTTTTTACTCCACACTTGCACCCACGTGCATTCTCCACATGCCTTCTTGTTTCTCCCAAATGGTTAATGTCATCTTCTCCTATCTCACCAGGTTGTTTTGTAACTGTTAATCTTCACCTCACGATCCTTATAATGGCCATAAGAACAACTGAGAAATCCAATGCTACATTCAGCTTCTTCCCTCCGAAGTACCATTTTATGTTGTAACACGTATGCCAGATCCAATCATGTATGCCTTTATTAAATAATACATATTTCTAACATCTGATTATAACAATATTGGAGAAAAGATAGAAAAGCGTATTGCAAAGCTCAAGAGGCATATACAAACAATCATGGATTACTAATGCAAATGAATTGCTCAGACATCAACACAATCACAAGTCCCTGCATGAGGTTTCGGGGTTTTTTTTTTTATAATTTCCATTATGCCCAAGGGAAAAAAAAAAACCAAACAAACCCAACCCCAACATTCTAGGAGTAAGCGGTGTGGCAAGACCCACTCTGCTTTTTGTCATCTCCAAACCACACACAGAACCTTATTTGCTATGAAAAGGACACCGATTCATGAACTGATGAGGATTACTTTAGCATCTTACCGCAACTGTAGCCCTTTGTTTGTCCGGGTACCACCAAGCTGGTAAACCTTTGCAGTCTCTACCACACCAGTTATTTCAGCAACCTATATCAGAGTAAAATACACAAGAGGAAGGATGCAAGAGGGGTTTTCTTGTGTTCCTGGAATATATCTGTCATATTCAAGCCTCTTCACTAGAGATCAAAAACCTTAATCTAACTAACAATTCTAATTAGATCAAGGAAACCAAGACTCTTCAGTGCACATTATCAGGTACTGAATTAGTTGCTTCATGCATCACCTTTGAGTTGACAAATTATACCATCTGAATGCTTGATGCAGTTTTTCCTGTCTTCTCATTTCAGCTTTCCTGACCAAATGATGTACACTTCCCTACTTTTTCTCTTTCCTTTTCAGTTAACGCTGGTTTGGGTTAACATATATCCCAAATGAAATACACCAGTGCTGCTCACATACTAAACACAGTCCCCTCCGGGGTCCTTTTTAATGCAAATTTAGAGAATATTATTGCATCCTATGATTGTGCAGTTACAGGAATGAAACAGAAAAACAAAACTGTGTTCTCAACCACCCTCTCTTCTGAGGCACACTGATGTACTAGAAACACTTTGTTAAAAAAAAAAAGAACTGAGACCACGCAATAACTTGGGAACAATCCCAGAAATAGGGAGTGAATGTTACTCATCCTTACTTGGTCAAAGCAGAGTCTGAACTCTAGTTTGCAATACAAATGATGAGAAAGACAGCATGAACCAAAGCTGGAAGAACAGGCTTTGTTAGTGCTCCCTCTCTCACTAAATATCTCTCTTCACCTAGCTGGTCCCACAGATTTATTTGTTCTTAAAGCAGTCTCCTCCACTTCTTTGGCAGCAATTACGTTTTCTGGTTACAAGCAATCTTTTTATGTTAATCACTTAAACAATCACAGGTACCTGAGAATTGCTAAACTGCAAATATTATATTACAGCACTATAAAAAGAATCCCATACAAGACTGTATTCCTTGGAACTAAACTCACCCGATAAACAGGTTTGCTGTTGTGATTTCCAATGCCAATACGGACAAAGCAGCCAGTGACTGTCTTGGCAAAGAAGGGCATATGACACCAGCGTTCCAGCTTGTGTCGTGATAACCTTACTCGGTTCAGTTCTTCAGGCAAGGACACTGGTTGGGACTTAGGAGGAATTTCTTCTTTCCTGATTTGGGAAAGGTGAGAAGGAATGAAGAAAAAAGGTAGAGACATAATTATCAAAAAAGGGGTCCTGAGCAAGGTGCTAACTATTTAAATTACTAGTAAACAGAATGATTCATCACGCACTAGCTGACTGTAGATATGAGAATTTCGCATTCATGAGAGAGGCTTAAGGCAAAGTCCTGGACTTGCTACCCACTGCCCCTGCTACCACAAAGCAGAAAGACTCACACACCATGGCAGTTTATAGGCCAATGCTTTAAGATAAGCCAGCACATATGTCTGCCCTGCTAATACGCCAGAGTTCTGTGGCTGCTAAACTCTAGGACTAAACAAATCTGTAAACAACAGTGTAAACAGGACTAAAGGTAACAGCAGGGAACTGAAGTTGCAAACCTATCCAAGGTAAATGAGTCCCATGCACCATGATATAGAAGCCCGGGACTCAAATCTGAGCAATGCAAGTGTGCCCAGAGGCAAAACCACTTCAGAAACACTGAACTGCCCCCAAACAACCCTCTAAAACAGCATGTGTCTACATAAAGTGGATCTCTGTTTTTGAACACACACTTACAAGTAATCATAGTCCAGTGTTTGCTACTTACTCTTCCTCTTCATCAGAGGATGAGGATCTGGATGAGCGATCACTTTTCTCACTAGACTTATCATCTTCCTCCTCCTCTTCATCATCAGAGTATACTTCACTAGTTTTTAATGGTTGTTTTTTTGCAAGCAATTCAGCTGGGGGAAGGAGGAGAGAGAACAAGGAAAAGCAAACTGTAAATTTTTCATGAAAGCTTCCTTTTAGAGCTGAAACCTTATTGTTTTTAAAAAAGAGAGGCAGACAGCTGTTCATTTTACACTAGATACAAGTGCCACATGTTCAAATCCACTAGTAAGCTAAATACTCCGTTGTATATATTCAAAGAGGGAAATCAAAGTATTTAAAAGCATCTTAAATATCAGTCATACTTATCTTCAGTCTCCCAACATCACTGCACATAGCAATACAAGATGGGCATAACAACTGGATATACAAGATAAAACTATTATGATGAGATAACTCATTGTTATTTTGCAAGGGGGGGGTGGGGTGGGGAATCTCATGTTTGGAGAAGAGCTGTATTGGGTTTGCATGGCAAGGTTTTGGGAGGAGAAGGGCTACAGGGGTGGCTTCTGTGAGAAGCTGCTAGAAGCTTCCCCCAAGTGCAGTAGAGCCAATGCCAGTCAGCCAAACAGAGCCAATGCCAGCCGGCTCCAAGACGGACCCACCACTGGCCAAGGCCGAGCCCATCAGCAATGGTGGTAGCACCTCTGGGATAACATATTTAAGAAAGGGGTCAGGGCTGGGGGCAAAGCCGCACAACTGTAGCCAAAGAGACAGTGAGAATTGCAGACACCAAGGCCAGCGAAGAAGGAGGGAGAGGTGGCGTTCCAGGTGCTGGAGCAGAGATTCCCTGCAGCTTGTGGTGAAGACCACAGTGAGGCAGGCTGTCCCCCTGCAGCCATGGGGGCTAATGGGGGAGCAGATATGCACTTGCAGCCCGGGGAGGACCCCACGCCAGAGCAGGTGGGTGCCTGAAGGAGGCTGTGACCCCATGGGAAGCCCACGCTGGAGCAGGCTCCTGGCAGGACCTGTGGGCCTGTGGAGAGAGGAGCCCACGCTGGAGCAGGTTTGCTGGCAGGACTTGTGACCCTGTGGGGGACCCACGCTGGAGCAGTTCATGAAGAACTGCAGCCCGTAGGAAGGACTCACTTTGGAGAAGTTCATGGAGAACTGCCTCCCATGGGAGGGACCCCACGCTGGAGCAGGGGAAGAGCATGAGGAGTCCTCCCCCTGAAGAGGAGGGAGCATCAGAAACAATGCATGATGAACAGACCACAACCCCCATTCCACATCCCTCTTCACTGCTGTGGGGGAGGAGGTAGAGAGTAAAGTTGAGCCCAGGAGGAATGGAGGGGTGAGGGGAAGGTGTTTTAAGATTTAGTTTTTTATTTTCTCATTATCCTACTCTGATTTTGATTGGTAATAAATTAAACTAATTTCCCCAAGTCTATTCTGTTTTGCCTGTGATGGTAACTGCTGAGTGATCTCCCTGTCCTTATCTTGACCCACAAGCCCTTTGTTATATTTTCTCTCCCCCTGTCCAGTTAAGGAGGAGTGACAGACCAGATTTGGTGGGTACCTGGCATCCAGCCAGGGTCAACCCACCACAGGAGCACAATAAAACCCAGCAGATTAACAAAAAGAACTGCATCAAAAGTCTGTGGCAAGATGGGTGAGATGATGTGCCAGTGAAGAAACAAGCGAATGTAGTCATGGTAGCTCAAGTACAAAAAATACGGTTTGGATGGTTCAGAGATTAAATAACAGAATCTAAGTGACCAATTCAAATACATGAAGTAAACACTACTAAGTGCCATTCAATGGACTGCAATGAAAGTTTCCTTTGTTTTCAGACCATTCCAGTGAGGGACGGGACGGGGTGGGGGCGGGGGGAAGGAGGAATAGAGCATCAGTGGTACCAAACAATACCCTAGGTGGTCATGTTGGGCAAAAGACCAAGGAAAACACAGACACTGAATTCATTCACTCCAAGCCGTAGGATTGTTGCATTAATTAGAAACAGGAAGTAGCAGAAAAAGCTGTAATAATACCTCAAAAAATTGTAGCAACAGCAACACATTTTCATACCTGTTCTGTTCTTCCTTTTCTCTCTTTCTGCTTTTAGCTCCTCCATTGCCTGAGATTTTTTGTCTAGCTTCTCATCCCGCTTTGATCGCCGCTCTTTGTTATGTGACATGACCTAAAAACATGCACAGAAAGTCCCTCAACACCAAGTGCAATTCATAAATTGAAATGCATTAAACCAAAGATTGTTTGCACACTTTGAAAACTTTTCAGATTGAAACTACTAACAAACTCCATTTTGAAATCAGTTTTTTTCAAGTTCATTTTTATAGTGGCTAGGGAAATCAATCTGAAACATATTTATTTTTTCTACTTCATATCACAAGTAATGAACATATTTACACTTCAACATTTCTGCCACCAAGTTTTAGTGTCAAAACTCCTCCTTAAAGTTAAAAAAGGACTAGAGAAATAAAATGGAAGTAATCCTGCAACTAACAAGTAACGAGAAAAATTTGGATGAATATTCTTCCCATTTGCTTCTCCTTCTGCAAGGCCAAAACAAGGCACTTGTTCTCATTCAGTAGCAAAGAGAAAAGTTATGTTTAAAAAAAAAATACTTGAAGCAGAAATAAAGTTGTGTGTAAAGTCTGCAGTATGGATCTGTCCTGGTTTTGGCTAGGACAGAGTTAATTTTTCTTCCTAGTAGCTGGCATAGTGCTGTGTTTTGGATTGAGTATGAGAATAATGCTGATAACACTGATGTTTTAGTTGTTGTTAGGTAGTGCTTACACTAGTCAAGGACTTTCTTAACTTCCCATGCTCTGCCAGGTGCACAAGAAGCTGGGAGGGGGCACAGCCAGGACGGCTGACCCAAACTGACCAAAGGGCTATTCCATACCAAATGATGTCATGCTCAGTATATAAACTGGGGGGAGTTGGCCGGGGGGCAGCAATCGCTGCTTAGGCATGGGCTGGGCATCAGTCAGTGGGTGGTGAGCAACTGCATCGTGCATCACCTGTTTTCTATATTCCTTTATCATTATTATTATTATTACTATTTCCTCTGCCTTTGCTGTCCTATTAAACTGCCTTTATCTCAACCCACAGGTTTTACTTTTTTTATTGTCCCCGATTCTCTCCCCCATCCCACTGGGGGTTGGGGGGAGGGTGAGTGAGCAGCTGTGTGGTGCTTAGTTGCCAACTGGGGTTGAACCACGACAGTCCTTTTTGGCACTCAATGTGGGACCCAAAGGGTTAAGATAATGACAGATCTGACCAGAGTGTGTTAAAACAAATTTGTTACAAGTGTTTGTTATATTAGTTTAGTAATCACTGGTCACAATGTTGATGTTCTTGCTCTCAGAGTTTTTGCATTTCTTCTCAGAGTTGTGCTATGTAACACCTTACTTGCTGTATGCACTCCCTATGGTGCTGTTTATCATCTCTCAGAACTGGATTACAGCTATTGCTTTGCTGTACATTGTAACATTGGTTTATGGTATGATAAAATCATTGGTCATGAGATTGTACTCAGCACTGCCGTCATTCCTGTACTTCAGGAGCCATTTCTCAGAAACTATTAATGATTACACTTTTTACCTCTTCTCCTCAGAGAACGGATCCATTGAGGAGACAGAGGGCGACACTTTCCCCCGCTTCTTTACCATCCCCTCCTCCTTCAGGCTAGTTACAACAGCTTTTGAGAATTTTTAATATCCTTGGGATATTCAAACTAGCATCCTCCTACTGCTATGTCTCCTGAATGTGGTTCAGGCCTTGTTTAAGGTTAAACAACTATTTAAGACTATCATCCAGAGATCAACCACCGCAACGGGCGCCATGGCTGCTCCAACCCCCAGTGACAGGCGCTGCAGCTGAACTAGAGGACCAACCTGTGTTCGTATCAGTCGCCCCCATACACAAGAAGAAATCTTGGAAGCGAAAGTCAACTCCTTTAGGAAAGGGATGATGAAAAACCAGGGCAATCACAAGGAGAGGAGGAGCAAGAGGAAGAACTCATAAATGAGACGGAAACCACATGATCCTTGAGTGAGCTGTGAGATATGCAAAAAGATTTTAGCCATCGTCCAGGTGAGCACATTACCACCTGGTTGCTCCAATGCTGGGATAATGGGGCCAGTAGCCTGGAATTAAGAGGATAAGGAAGCCAAACAACTGGGATCCCTTCACTATGGAAGAGGGTATTGACAAAGTGATTGGAAAAGGAGCACAAGTCCTTAGCCTCTGGAGGCAACTTCTGTCAGGTATGAAGGAAAGATATCCCTTCAAGGAAGATGTTATATCGCCCAGGCAAGTGGACCACCCTAGAGAGAGGTATCCAGTACCTGAGGGAATTAGCCATGCTGGAGGTGATTTATAGTGACCTGAACAATGAGCAGTTATTCAAAGATCCAGATGAAGTCCAGTACACACGACCCATGTGGCGGAAGGTGATATGGAGTGCACCAGTGTCATATGCCAACTCGTTGGCAATACTGTCCTGGAAAGATGAAGCAGCACCAACGGTGGACGAAGTGGCTATCCAGCTCCAGGAATACAAAGAAAGTATCTCTTCCTCTCTTGTCTCAGCTGTAGACAAACTGTCCCAGGAGTTCCAGCAATTCAAAGAGGGTAAGTTCTACTCCCCACCTGTATGGACTAGTATCTCAGCAATTAGGAGTCAGCATTCTTTTGCTCAAGAGAGAGGATATAGGGGGTACACACCACGAGGCACCCTATGGTTTTACCTGTGTGACCACAGAGAGGACATGAGGAAGTGGGATGAAAAACCTACTTCAACCTTAGAGGCACAGGTACATGAAAGAAAGGAAAAAACAGTCACACAGGGGGGTTCTTCCAGGAAAACTACTGCTCCAGTTTCCAGTGGACAGCTCCGCAGACAGACTAGAAAGGCTGATCTTACTTCTCATCTTAATGAACTCCTGACTCGTATGTCCAAGAAGTGAGTAACAAATACTATGACCAGTATTAGAGGGGCCCTGCCTCCAGCCAGGTGGAGAAAAGGTTGCATATTCCAAATTACAGTCTGATCATAAGCCCTCTCTATCAAGTGACCCGGAAGAAGAATGATTTCAAATGGGGCCCTGAGCAACAACAAGCCTTTGAACAAATTAAACGGAAGATAGTTCATGCAGTAGTCCTTGGACCAGTCCGGGCAGGGCAGGATGTAAAAAAATGTGCTCTACACCGCAGCTGGGGAGAATGGCCCTACCTGGAGCCTCTGGCAGAAAGCACCAGGGGAGACTTGAGGTCAACCCCTAAGGTGCTGAGGAGGCCCCACTGTGTAATAAACTGCCGGCAAATGAAAAGCAATATGCCCTGTTCACTGATGGGTCCTGTTGTATTGTGGGAAAGCATCGGAGGTGGAGAGTTGCTGTATGGAGTTCTATACAACAAGTCGCAGAAACAGCTGAAGGAGAAGGTGAATCTAGTCAGTTTGCAGAGGTGAAAGCCATCCAGATGGCTTTAGATATCACTGAACAAGAAAAGTGGCCAGTACTTTATCTCTATACTGACTCATGGATGGTGGCAAATGCCCTGTGGGGGTGGCTGCAGCAATGGAGGCAGAGCAACTGGCAGTGCAGAGGCAAAACCATCTGGGCTGCCGCATTGTGGCAAGATATCGCTGCCTGGGTAGAGAATCTGCTGATTGCAAAAGTTCATCACGTAGATGCTCACGTACCCAAGAGTCGGGCCACTGAAGAACATCAAAACAACCAGCAGGTGGATCAGGCTGCTAAGACTGAAGTGGCTCAGGTAGGGCTGGAGTGGCAACATAATGGTGAATTATTTATAGCTTGGTGGGCCCATGACACCTCAGGCCATCAAGGAAGAGATGCAACATACAGATGGGCTCGTGATGAAGGAGTGGACTTAACCATGGACAGTATTGCACAGGTTATTCATGAATGTGAAACATGCGCTGCAATCAAGCAAACCAAGCGGTTAAAGCCTTTCTGGTATGGAGGGCTATGGCTGAAATATAAATATGGAGAGGCCTGGCAGATTGATTATATCACACTCCCACAAACCTGCCAAGCAAGAAAAGCACCATGTGCTTACAATGGTGGAAGCAACCACTGGATGGCTGGAAACATATCCTGTGCCCCATGCCACTGCCTGGAACACTATCCAGGGCCTTGAAAAGCAAGTCTTACGGAGACATGGCACCCCAGAAAGAATCGAGTCAGACAGTGGGACTCATTTCTGAAACAACCTCATAGACACCTCAGCCAAAGAGCATAGCACTGAGTGGGCATATCACATCCCCTATCACGCACCAGCCTCCGGGAAAATTGAACGATACAATGGGCTGTTAAAGACTACAGTGAGAGCAGTGGGTGGGGGAACATTCAAACACTGGGATACGCATTTAGCAAAAGCCACCTGGCTAGTCAACACTAGGGGATCTGCCAATAGAGCTGGCCCTGCCCAATCAACACTTTTATATACTACAGAAGGGGATAAAGTCCCTGTAGTGCATATGAAAAATATGCTGGGGAAGACAGTCTGGGTTATTCCTGCCTTGGGCAAAGGCAAACCCATCTGTGGGATTGCTTATGCTCAAGGACCTGGGTGCACTTGGTGGGTGATGCTGAAGGATGGGGAAGTCCAGTGTGTACCACAAGGGAATTTGATCTTGGGTGAAAATAGCCAGTGAACTGAATTGTATTATGTTAATTATGTCATCTCTTTTATGGTTGCTATATGCCATATCAACGGTATTATAGTAAGAATCGCCCAGATTAATGAATAATGAACTTTGATGAAACCAAGCAAAGTGGAGCAGAGTTGGAACCCGAACTGGCTTCAGCGTGCAACAATCCAACACGGCACACCATCTCTCCTGCCCTGAAACACTGTTATGACAGATGGAACCCAAAGTCATGGACTAAATGAACTCAATGGATGTTTTAGAGGGATGGCCCATAGACTAAGGGAATGATATCTGCATGTATGTATCAAGACAGGTAAAGTGGTGGTGATTAATTGGAATGTATTGGAAAGGGCAGGACCTGGGGCATGACATAGATGGTACGGAATAAGGGTTGGATACTGTCCTGGTTCTGGCTGGAATAGAGTTAATTTTTCTTCCTAGTAGCTGGCATAGTGCTGTGTTTTGGATTGAGTATGAGAATAATGCTGATAACACACTGATGTTTTAGTTGTTGTTAGGTAGTGCTTACACTAGTCAAGGACTTTCTTAACTTCCCATGCTCTGCCAGGTGCACAAGAAGCTGGGAGGGGGCACAGCCAGGACGGCTGACCCAAACTGACCAAAGGGCTATTCCATACCAAATGATGTCATGCTCAGTATATAAACTGGGGGGAGTTGGCCGGGGGGCAGCAATCGCTGCTTAGGCATGGGCTGGGCATCAGTCAGTGGGTGGTGAGCAACTGCATCGTGCATCACCTGTTTTCTATATTCCTTTATCATTATTATTATTACTATTTCCTCTGCCTTTGCTGTCCTATTAAACTGCCTTTATCTCAACCCACAGGTTTTACTTTTTTTATTGTCCCCGATTCTCTCCCCCATCCCACTGGGGGTTGGGGGGAGGGTGAGTGAGCAGCTGCGTGGTGCTTAGTTGCTGACTGGGGTTGAACCACAACAGGATCCAAATCTTAAATGCTGTAAGCCTTTTAGTATTTTCTAACAGGTCTATCTGGAATACCAGGTATCACAGAAAGCAGTTTCTATAATAAGCATAAGAGACAGTCATATAAAGTAAGTCAAAGTAATTTCTGGAAGGCACTGTAAAAGAACTCTGCATAAGATCCTTTTATATATACATATATGAGTCTACACATTATGTATTTTATATATATGGACTATGTAAGTGTACATAGACACACACACATATATGGAGTTGAGAGGGGTAGGAAGATGAGATTCACTCCACTTAATGTGTGCCTAAGGGAAAACTCATCTTATCTAATTTGGTTTAGGTGTTGAACACCTATGTCACTAGAAACTAACATGTAGTGAATTGCCAGCTGGAGATGCCCTCCTCCATTGCACAAAGACAGATGCAACAACAAATGCAAACAATCAGCTAGTTCTTGGCTAGTTAGGCAAGATGAATCCCATCCCATTCTGGAGCCTAGCTGCCCAGACTCAATAAATAGCTAAGGGTGGGGTCTTAATCATTTGAAAATGTAGCCAATTCAGCCATTTGCAACTACAGTTCAGTTACAGAGGCCTCACCCCAAAAACTGGTATTATCCTCTTTCTACTGGAGGTGAAAAAACTATGAAACTACTTCTGTTCCTCCTAGCATTCAAGCTTTTCCTTCACACCCTTCCCAGCAGAAACTAAGCATTCTTTCCATTGTATGTGCATGCAAAATAATTAAGACAACAGCTGGGCAGCTTCTGGTCTGCTCTCTCAAACTTTCACTTGCAAGAAAGACTGCCTATGTAATGTTTCAGACTGAATGACAGAAGTTTGGCTAAAGGAACCGCAAAAGGTTGCTTTCCTGTTCTCATATGGGAGGACTATCACAGCAACTCTAGATACAGCTGCAACTTTGCATTTTTCATTAAAAGGAGTTATGAGTGCATCCCTCAGCAGGCCAAAGATGTTAATTTCTTTAAATGAACTAGAAAGGCTATAGATAGCTTGAGCATATAAATGAACTAAATTCTGACCTGCTTACCACACTGTTTGACATTAAGGGAAAACATTAGGGGCAGAGAGAGGCAGCAGCATCCTATCTCCTATTGCCAAGGGAAAAGAGTTTGTTACTAAGGACAGTTTAATTTCCTACCTGGGATTCCTGGATCTGTGTGAGTTTTTTCTTCTCCTGCTCTTCCTCTTGCTTTTTCTTTTTCTCTTTCTTTTCTTTCTTTTTTGCCGTTTTTAGTTTCTTCTTGATTTCAAATCTAGTAGCAGATATTGAAACAAAAAGAATACATGAAAGAATGCTCTCTCCCTGAGTGAGCAAAGTACCGCTCAGATGCTATCTCAGCTTAACTTGTTAGTAGACTGTAAGGAACCCTTCCACTGCTTGCCGCAGATGGATAACCCTCTAATGCTATCCTGTCCCCCATTCCCATTCCCATCCCCTCCCTTCCACAAGAAAAATAAGGTGAAGAAAAGCTGAGAATAGAAAAGTGTAGGCTTGCAGACAGCTAACCTAAAGTGCTGAGGAGACCACATAGCAATGGCTACTCCCCAGAAATCTGTCCTCACTCCATCTTCATCTTTGCCAGTGTAATGACCATTGCATGCTGCCTCCAACTCTAAAAACAACTGGCTAGTTCACATCATCTGAATCTCAACAGCTAAAAACTTGGTTGTTTAGACACTATCATGCTGACTTTTTTCACACTTAAACTCCACCTTTCTGCTGGCACCGGTCTGTGTACATACAACTGCAAAGAAGTCACAGTGAGTCCTCCTTCAGCAGCTACATTCCAAACAGACTCAGGCAGTTTCTGCATCCCAATTTAGGCACCTCCATTTCTACCTTCACAAAATATGTCACCCTGAAATCTTATTTTCAGCCACTCTATTCAGAAGAGTAGTGATTTTGCTGGAACTGTCCTGTGACTGAGATTCCACTGCACCATGGACTGGTCATTGTGAAGTGTCAGTGAAGTGTGCATATGGACAAACACAAGAAAAAAAATACTTAACTTCCAATAACTGAAATTCAAAATGTGTTATCCACATATATATTTCACAGTCCATTCTTCTTCAGTCCTTTAAACCTAGATTTTTGTAGACAAGAAACTGAAGTACCAGGTGAGCTCATTGCCCTTTATGCCTTTAACATGAAGCATAACACACAGGGCACAGGCATTGTATCACATGCAATGTCTGCTGTAATCCCAATGAACTCATGGCACAATGTACATACAAATAGCTAGAGAGCATTTTGAAAGATCCAACTCACCAAAAAGTTAAATAACTACCTCCCCCCCCACTTAGTTCTACCTGCCAACCCCTTTACATAGAACAGAACAAACTCGTTTAAGATTAAAGCAGTAACTCAAGCTTAGATTGTTTAGCTTGTTCTTATCAAGTATTCTCCATCATTCATTCTAAAAGAAAGACATTCAGTTACCATGGAACAGTGAATGAAATTAAAAAAAACATGGTGTCCTTCTACCTGATCTAAATCCAATCTTTCACTCATTTTGATCCCTTTGAGGAGAGAAGCAAGCTAGAGGAGACACTGAAAGCAGTATTAAAACCACAGATAGACACAGGCAGTAGTCCAGGTATGGCTTGGACAAATGGACAGTCTGACAGTAGCTTGCATTGACATGATTTACTCAACAGATGTCAGTCCTCTAGAGAAATTTCTCAGCAAGTGAGAAGAGAGGGAAGTCACTGAAGAGGGAAGAAACTGGAGAAAACTTGCCCCACACATGCCAAATCTTTTCTGTTAGACACATGAGAAGAAAAATATCTTTACTACAAGGAAGCTACCTGACAGGACAGTGTTAGTGACAAACAAACCAAACCACAACACTTAAGGTAGAAATCTGCAAATGATCCCTTGAAAATGACATATCCAACACCACTCCTCATTATTTCATTATCTCTCTCTTTATTAGGGCCCCAACCAGCTTCACATGCATACAGAGGCAACCCTAACACTGCTCCATGCTTCACCATTGTTTTCTGAAAAATGTCAGAAGCTATATACACCTTACACTTTGTTTGCCTTTTTCCAAAGTATCAGCGTGTGACAGGTAATACAAAAAAAGACAGAAAAGAAAGCAGTCCTTCTGACTGTCTGGCAAATAGTGTGCTAAGCAGTAATATAGCTACAATGGTAGCTGACAGAACCACATGTATTCAACAGCTGAGAAACTTTCAGACACTGACTTTTACAAGAACATGCAGAATTTCTGCTGTGTGCTTCTCAACTAGCTACAAGGACAGTTCATACAAAAAAATCTACAGTGAAGCTTAATTCACTTTGTAGTGCTGAATGCTTGGACCCCAAACATGAGAGCAAAGTCAGTATACTCTCCATACAGCCTGTATGAATTTGCTACCAAATATCAACAATCTAAAATTCACCTTCTCTTCAGCACTTCTCTCTTCTCTATCCGGTTAAACAGCTCCTGCTCTCTCTCCTTTTCTGTCATTTGTTCCAGTCGAGCTCGGTCTTCTTCATCTCCCATCAGATCTTCTCCATAGCCGTCATGAAATTCCTCATCTTCAGACGAAGAATCTGAATCTGAGCTAGACGAGGAGCTGTTGCTTTCTGAGTCAGAGACTTCTCCTAAAACAAAAATACAAGGCAGTGAGATTCAGCTGGGGCAAAGCCCAACCACTTCATTGTAGCATGTTAGCAAAGGATATCAAGAATTAATTTTGCACTCCTCTTCCACTACACTAGAAGCATACATATCACAAAAACTAAACCCAGGGGGAAATACTTTATTACCGTAAGATATACATGCTAAAAAATGATAAAATGAATGGTACTACATGTGAACACTAATTGGGTTATAAGTAAAAATTCTTAGTAGAACAAGCAAAATTTAGGAGGCCTTTTGGTTAGTGTGTTGAGGTCTTAAGGTTAGATTTCTATGCTTATTTCCCCGAGAAGTTGCTTGTACATCCATAACTTTGTAAGTGTGTGTGCACACCTCATACGCCACCATTAACCACCACCAATACTCCTCATCATAGCAACCTGAAGAACCAAAATTCTTCATTTGAAGTCTGCAACACTATGAATTGCTACATCACAAGATAAAGTTGAAACACACTACCCTCAGGACTGGCAAGGCCATGATGTTAGCTCCATTACTGTAACAAGCCCTCCCAGTTACACATGGGCTTAGGAAACAGCTGACTCCCCAATAACATTGGGTCACACCACCTTTAAAATTGATCCAAGTCCAAGTCCTTTAATTATCTCACCTAATCGACTACATTACACCAAATCACAAAAGCAGACATTAGGATTCTTTCTTCCACTTTCATTCTGGTCTCAGTATTTCTGGAAAACTTCCAGCTTTGCAAGCTTACATTGTGAAAAACCTTGACTTGTATGCACTGATACATACAGGTTCAGTCACTTCATGCTTTGTCTGTCTCTGCTGTGCTTAATATACTTAAAACTGTAGGCTCCTTCATATTCTTTCTTAACTTTGTTTTTTTAGTACCAACTGAAATCGCAACTAACCACCTGCAAATCTTCATAAGCATGGTGAAAACAGGAAAGAACACAGGAAGTTTGCCCAGCACTGGAACAGATTCAATATTCATGTAAAAAAATTCTGACAAAGTTATAGTAATTGTTTTTCTTCTTCCATGTCAGTATAAATGTGCAAGAATTCCAATTCAGAGCAAATGCATGCAAGATAAGCTCCTACTTGCATCACACAACACTATACACCTCTCCCTTTGTCATCACAAGAAGTTTGGGAAGGGAAAATACATCAATGGGAATAAAAGCAAATACTACCCACACTACAGATGGGACACGCTAGAAGGAAGAAAAGAATTTTCCAGGAGAAAGACAAGTAATGAAACATGTAATACATTCTTCAGCTGAAACAGTATTAACTGTTGGGTTTGTAATAGAGTGCTTACAGCAGTGCTATACTAAATTATATGCACTTCAAACCATGGCAAGTTTAAGAGTCTTACTTGCACAAAGGAAACTCTTTGAAAGTAGTCTTTAACATCACCATTTAACATTACTCTTCAGTATGCACGAAGGGGTAACTTCACTTGGAATTACACTGTAAGTAGATGCACATGTGTTATCTTACCCTCTTCAGGTGCTGAGCTCTCAGCTGAGCTGTCTTTATCTGAGCTGCCTGAAGAGGCAGCTTTGTTCATCTGTTTCTTCATGGCTCCTTTCTTCTCTGCCTTACCCGCTTTTCCCTTTTTTTTGTTTTTAGAACCTCCAACAGTCCACTGCAAGGAAAGAACCAAGAAAGGGATCATGAGATATGAACATCATTCTTTTCTCCCTGCCCCAAAATACTGGAGTAAAAACAACTGAGAAACAGTCCAATACCTGTCAGCAACAAATCAATCATGCAGGGCAGGGCACTGGGGGAGAAGCCAATAGGAAACTTCTCAAATGAAAACATTTTACAAGTTTTTTTGGGTTGGGGGGGTGTGTGTGCAATTGGTTTGGGTTTTTTAAGGAAGGAAAAAAAAAAAAAAAAAAAAAAGAGTTATCAGTGCAAGCCAGCAGTTGGTAGGACACTCCTTTTAAAAACAGTGAAGACTTCAGAGCCTGCAATATCTGCCAGGAGAAAAGAGGTACTGAAAACATTTTCTTAGGAAAATAATTTTAAACAATTGTCCAACTGCATTTCTGAAGATTAGCTTCAGTTTACTACTATTAAACAGAAGAAGCAACAGATGTGTTTCCAAAACTAGTTTATTCAATGACAGATTTTAGATTTCATGAAGGCACACCAATTACACATGACAGTCTTTCCAAAAATCTCAGTTTTACCAGGAGTACACAGCACCTGTATTTTTAATGCAACAAACCAACAGCACACCTGCTCATAGACAGTAGTGCCACCACTTGCATCTATGCACACAACTCGGAATCAAATCAGAATCACAGAAGTCAGGAAAAAAAGAAAAAAAAAATCAAATGTCAAGTCTTAATTTTAATTCTCTTTAACATCGCATCCTCAATTAACTTAGACTCCACTTTCCAAGTACAGGACTTATACCATCACACACACGGGTAACAACTTTTGATCCCAAAGTCCCAGGAGAAGAGCTAGTATTTAATTTACAGTGTGATTTCTTATTAGAATTTTTGCATTGTCCCAGCCACCTGGGTAAAGCCACAGACCAGAACTGCTAAGGATTGCCTGTGTATTATTTTAAGGCTTTACAATATCTTGCACTTCACTACCTCTCCTCGAAATTCTTGAGCTGCAAGACCTTCAGGGATAAGACAGTTTCTTTCTAAATAAATATAGATATATATATTTAGACTGTTATCCTCTTCATACCTGTATATTACTCTCATCTTTCATGCACATCACCATCTGTTCAAGCATGCAGCCTACTAAAAAAAATATTCCTAAGTTAAATGAGCAAATACTCCTTTGCAAAACTGAGATCTTGCGCTCAAAACTACTCTAACTAGAAAAAAAAAAGTCTAGATTTGACCTCAGGTGCACACAAACTTCAGGCCTCTCACCCACCCACCCCTTCCTGGGGTGTGAATCAAGTCCATCCCTGCAGGCAGTAATCATTCCATCAAATTTGATGACTTCTGCCTCATTAGGTATCATCTTCAGAGAACCCTGCTGATCAAATACTCTAAACAAAACTCAACCCAGTAGTTAAAAGCTACTACCTGATCTACTAATATCTTTAGAATTTCCTAGGTTTTGACTACTCTCACATCCAGCCTTGTACCTTCCATATTACCACCTGCTTCATCATCTTTGTTAAGCATCAGCTGTGCATTCAAAAGTATCTGTCAAAGGCCAGGCAGACATTTTCTTTTCTGAGGTAAAAGTACAGCTACCTAGTGGTGAGCCTCTGACTGCAACCCATGCCCTGTGCAGTTAGTCCAGGCTATTATGGTCTGCAGGATAGGTGAGAAACTGCGCAAAAAGTATCTGACTTTGTATGAGCCTGAGCTTGCACTCAAGTTTTTATTGGCTTCCACATTAAAGTTTTACTTCTTCAGTGTCACAATACTGCTGCTTAATAATATTCCTGGTTAACTATGCCCATGTAAATCAGTTAAGAACAAGCTTCTACTCTGCCTGAATCTGCTCAAAACCTTAACCAATGTTAAGGAATCATTTCCTAGGTATTACAGAAAAGTGCATTTTTGCTAATTGTGCAAGAGCTTACCTACCGCCAGCATACCAGTGAAAACACAACAGTGAGAAAGTGAAACTGAGCATTATAGCAGGGAGCAGCAGAGCCCTCTGAACCAGGGATGCAGAGGTGCCTCCTTCCCAGAGCTCTGCCACTTCTTTTCGGTGTTCTAACACTGAATTACACCTTGCGTCAGCATGCTGTACAGCAAGGAAGAAGCACAGAGAAAGCCATAGTATACACCACAGTTATATCAAGACCTTGAGAGGTCACAGTGAGATGAAAGAAGTTAAGATCAGATAAAACCAGCAGGACTTCAGTTGTTAATAAAATGTTTAATAGCTGTAGATACATGCGTTACAGATCACTGTTCTCAGCCTTTGACTTACAAGCAGAATTGTGGAAAGAACCTGGGTCCAGGAAGATGGGACTGAAAAGAAAGCGGTGTGACAACCTCTTGAACAAAAAAAAAAGTAACAAAAAAAAATCTGCCCTTATCTAGGAAATTTTGCTTTGGTTTCTGTTTCACCCTGGAGAATACACTTCATCTCGGCTGTTGTTTATGCAAGTGACCTCTACATCTCTTAAGTCACAATAACTGGTTGTCCCCTCCCCATTTCAGTGTTGTCACAAAGCCAAATTCTTCCTGATACAACTCAGGTCCTTCAGGGGCTATTCAGCCACCCCAATCTCTCATGAATGCCTGGTCATTCCAGGTACCACTACAGGACCAGACAAGGGTTTGAGCAAGCCTTAAGGACAAATAAATCATCAAAACCAGGACATAGACAGTGCGAGGCTCTTTTAGGCTCACAGATTGCTCTGCAGGCTCAGGGACCTTCAGTTGTCATTTGGACACTGAATGACCACTCTGTATTGTTCAGAGAGAGACTAGCTAACATCAAGTTTCTTCTTACAGCAGAGGAAGACATAACAGAGATTAGCAGGTCTGGGGTGGGGGGGTGGAGGCAATACTGGAAAGCCATGAGCTGCATTGCAGCCTGCAGTCCAAACCAGAGCCTTGAGCCCCTTCCAGTGGAGATCAGAAAGGCAACAACATGTTTGCAAATAACATCAAGTAAAAACGCACACACAGTTATAGTCAGAAGCATATAACATCAAGTAAAAACGCATACACAGTTATAGTCAGAAGCATTTGTTTGCTCTGTTTCCCTTACCCTCCATGCATCTCAAACAGCAAACAATAACCGTATTTTCCAAAACCTGCCTTCTATTGCAGCTTCACCAGGTTCCGTCTTCCACATTCCAATCAGGCAGAGCCAGTCAACACTTCTCTCACGCTTTCCATGACTATAACACCCCCTCTAAACAGCCATTCTATTCACTGCTGCCTCCTCGGCCACCATCTGGAATCCTCCATGGTTCCAGACACAGCAAGTTAATAAACCCATGCAGAAGTGTGCTGCAACATGGCTTTCTGCTTATTGTTTAGTACTATCAAACAACAGAGCTTTATGGTTCATTCACAGGAAGTAGCCAGAAGAGCATTTCAATTTTTCCTCTTGCTTCAAAGGTTCACAGTGCTAATAGCTTGCATATTTCCCCCAAGAAGTCCAAGTTAAGCCACAGTACCCAGAATGGACTGCCAAAAACAAACAAACAAAAAAAAAACACCACCAAACACATTAGAAATCAGCCAGATTTGGAAGTCAGCTTCTACAAAAGCAACTACACAAAATGATTGAAGAAAATCATTTATAGCTCAGCAAACCTGGAACATATTTCCACCAGGGAGATGAAATGAGATCGAGGAGAAAAAAAAGAAAAAAAAGAAAAAAAGAAGTGAGCTCTGAGAGTGCAGAATGCAGTACAATTGTCTTACCCCTGCTGCTCAGATAGTCACTATTTTCTTCTATTCACACAATACCTAAATGAATTATCCACTTCAAATAGGTATTCTCCCTGCCTTTTTTTTTTCTTCAATCAAACCAGAGATGCACAACCAAGATTACCAGCCTGTCCTTGCCATATCCTTCCCTCCTGGATATGGCTTTTGTAAGAAAAAGGCAAATTACAAGCCCCAACATCAAAGCAAAACAGGTCCCTTACCAATGTTCCTTTCCTAGGCCAGATAAACTTACACGCAGTGACAACGTGACAGCTTAAGAACACCAAGGTACATAACATTAGCCCAGCTTACCAACTTTCATCCATTCTCCTCCACTCATACAAGGAAAACAAAAGGCAGTCCTCCAGGCAAGTCAAAGTGCACTTCAGCCTGTCTGAAAACAACAGCAGGCAGCACAGATATGAAGGTAAGGCAGCATTTACTGTCTTCAGGGTTTCTCAAAGCTGGGAGAACTCTGGAGACAGCACTCCAAGGAGGAAAATGCTCTCTACCACTACTGTTAAAACTAAATAGTAAATAAAAAGCCCTTGTTACTTTTCTTGCCTTTTGGGGTCTGCACCTGTCATTTGGATGCCTCAAACACCTTCATATGACAACAGCCCAGCAATGAGAAAACTTAAAGGACCATTTTAGACACGAGGAGGAGACTCAAGGTGTCAACACCAAAATTGAAAGGAGACAAGCAAATAAAGAAAACTCCTTCTGAAGCCACAGAAGGGGCTTTGCCAGGAACCAGCTGAAAGAAGGTTTCATGGGCCAAAATATCACCACGCACCTGATCCACCCTTATTGTCCGAGTACTGCTCAAAGGAGCTTACAGAAAGGTAACTATGGAAAAAAAAAAAAAAAAAGAGTCTACCTATAGTAGGTTCAAATTCAGTTTAAGCTGCAAGTTAACATTTGCGCTCTCATTTTGAGGGGTCCATGTGTTGAAAAATGGCAAGAACTGCTGAGTGACAACATCGAGATGGTAGATACCAAAGGCCAATGAAATGCCATAATCAAAACAAACTTGGGGATGCTACTGGCTGTGAAAACCTGCAGTGTTTTATTTCGGAAGCCTGGGCCAAACAGCTGGAGATGGCAACAGCCATAAAACACTTGGTCAATGAGTGCCTTGCATGTCTCTAGCATGACCAGCCAGCACGCGTCATCTGGACTGACAAAGGCTTAATGACTTCTCTAGATACTAGACAGTGCCTTATGACTGGATTGTTCTCAGCAAAAACTGCTTCCTGGGTACAAAGGAAAAGTTCATTCAGTGAAAAAAATTAAATAAAATCACATATTCAATTCCAATACCTCCATAAGTCTATTTCTGGAGCAACATGCCCCACTTCAGAGCTCCTGCAGATTCTCATACCACATAAATCAAGTCCCCAGAAGTTATCCCCATGCTAGTTTGCAATTTAAAGAAGATACTTGCAGACCAGATTTTATACGTATTTTGTCCACAGCTGGTTCATACAATTAGCCTGCGCTATTCAGATTTGCGCTTGCACTTTGTTTGGGGTGGGGGAGTAACATCTTCCTTAAGGGAAGATTTATTATTCTACTTGTTAACAGCTGAAGGAAACTGCCTCCAAGAAAAGTCAAAATTACAAAGCACAAAGCCTATACAGCTGTGTATAGGAAGACTGTATACAGGAGTGTATACAGCTGTGTATAGGAGATTGTGGGTGTTGGTCTCTTCTCCCAAGTAACAAGTGATAGGATGAGAGGAAATGGGCTCAAGCTGTGTCAGGGGAGGTTTAGATTGGATATTAGGAAACATTTCTTCACAGAAAGAGTGGTCAAGCATTGGAACAGGCTGCCCAGAGAGGTGGTGGAGTCACCATCCCTGGAAGCGTTCAAAAAACAGGTAGACGTGGCACTTTGGGACGTGGTTTAGTGGGCATGGTGGTGTTGGGTTGATGGTTGGACTGATGATCTTAGAGGTCCTTTCCAACCTTAATGATTCCTAGTTTTTACTTTCATTAAAAAATAATGCAGCCACCAAGCCAGGAAACATGAAATTATTACTCTAACCTTAACTGGTTTAGTGGTGGACTTGGTAGTGTTAGGTTAATGGTTGGACTGGATGATCTTAAAGGCCTTTTCCAACGTAAACAATTTTATGATTCTATGATTAAAGCACGTCCCGTTTCAAATTTTTTAAGCTTGAAAACACATATGGCAAAGGCCTCACAGGACTGGAGAACCCACTCATTCTTGGAGGCCTAATTAAGCAGTATTATGAAAGAAAAGCACATGGGGAAGGAAGACATCTAGCATTGTGATCTCTACAAACCCACAAAAGACACCCCCAAAACAGAAGGAACATACACAGTTTTCTGCTAACCTGTGGTTTACTAGAGTGCTCTACCTCGAAGTGCAGTTAAGTAGATCCAAACTTTCACATCCTTTCCTCATAGTAGGGGCATAAAGCCTAAGCCAACTGTTATTCGAGACTGACTTCCTCACTGGCTGCAGGACCAATATTCAACTCTTCCTCTGTTCCACAGCTCTTGACAAGATCTTCAGCTATGCCGTTTCCTACTGAATCTGCATATTTGCAAATAAAGGCCTAAACAGATATCCCTCACTAAACTCCAGACTAGTACCAAGCATTCACGATACAACTTTTCTTGTCCTGGAGTTACCTTCCGCTACCACCCTAGAGCTGTTAAAAGGCACAACTAAACCCCTCACAACATTAGAATGAGCGTAGAAGGGTGCAGACTTACACCAGCATTGCTAACAACAAACCTTTCAAGAGAAACAAACAGGAGCTCCTACAGCACTGTGGCTTTCTGTCTTAATTGTCATGGTTTAACCAAGCAGGCAGCTAAACACTACAGAGCTGTTTGCTTGCTCCCCTCCCCCAGGGAGAGAACTGGAAAAAAGGTAAAACTCCTGGGTTGAGATAAAGAGAATTTAATAGGACAGAAAAGGAAGGGAAAACAATAATGATAAAAGAATATACAAAACAAGTCATGCACAATGCAATTGCTCACCACCTGCTGACAAATGCCCAGCCAGTTCCCAAGCAGCAGCCCCAACCCCCTGGCTAACCTCCCCAGTTTTTTGTTCAGCATGACATCATATGGTATGGAATATCCCTTTGGCCAGTTGGGGTCAGCTGTCCTGGCTGTGTCGCCTCCCAGCTTCTTGTGCATCTCCAGCCTCCTTGCTGCCAGGGCAGTATGACAAGCTGAAGAGTCCTTAACTTACTGTAAGCAGTGCCCACCAACAACTAAAATGTCAGTGTGTTATCAACAATATTCTCATCCTAAATCCAAAACACAGCACTATACCAGGTACTAGGAAGGAAACTAATTCTATCCCAGCTGAAACCAGACTCTAATCTACACTGATGTTAGTGAAGTTGCTGGATAGAAGTCATCCAGGCTTCACCACGCAACAGAAAGAATTCTCTTACCATAAGCAATGACGCCAGGAAAAAAGGAAAAGCAAGAACCCAGAATTAACCTACTGCAACTGAGGAACACCATCCACACAATGTCTTCAATAAGCAATGATGGTACTTTGTGGACACATATACCTCTAGCACAGTAGCCCCAACAGTAACTTGGCTAACACCAAACTGGTTAGAGGCACCAGGCTAAAACCAGTTTGGGATGGTGAGCCATTGGGTAGTCATGGCCACACGCTGCTCCACAGATAAAGGAACTGTCTCTCTCCACATCCGTGTCCAGCTTAGTATATCTCTTTGTGAAGGTGGTACTTCTTATTGCAAAGCCCTGCAGTCACTGCTGTTTATCAGTTCTCGGAACAACAGTTCATAGTCAATTCAGTCATGCACGTTCCACAGACCCACCAGAACATGGTTCAGAGCATCTCTCCTATTTCATTGCCTACAACTCATCTTCAGTCCCTTGGCTAGGTAATTTGTTTCTGACCACACAGGTACTTAAAATGCTACAGAACCCCACATCTGCACCATGAACACCTGATGTGGCTATGAGCTTTCAAAGAAGCACATTCTCACCGAGACACACAAAATGTAACGTTAAATATCTACTGAAATCCCTTGGGCACCACTGTATAGATGTGACATGATTTGTACGTGCTGTTATTCTGTAATTCCAAAATGCATTATCTTTCTCTCCCCAATGCCCCCCAAACTTTCCTCCCTTTAAAATATGCAGAATGCAGCATTAAGACTCTGACGCAGAGATTTAGGCCTTTCCTGTACGTGGAACATAGTGACAATCCTGGAACATTTAGCACTTGCCAGGAACCACAAAGGATGTACACACTACAAAACCTGTGTGGAAGCAAATGGGTATGATTAAGCATATCTGCTCAGGGCAACAGTTTCCATGCTTTTGCCTCAAGGTCCTCATCTTGCAGGAAGACCAGTAACAAAATTTCAACTTTTAGACCCTCTCTCCCAACACCCAAGGCTGAGCAAACGTCAAACTAACAAGAACCCTGATTAAAACCAAAGTTGTTCAAGCAGGAGTAGCGTAGTCAAGCCTCGGGATGCACACAACTGAATGACTGGCAGAAGCAGAACTGTCATAACCCAGCCTGTCTCACCCTGCTGTGACAAGCAGCAGTTCTGAATGCATATTTCAGACACAGGAATAGAAGCAAGTGTCCTAATTACCTCTTCTCTAAATCTTTTCCTCTTGCTGCATGGAGGTCAGAAAGAACAGAGTTTTAATTAGAAATGATACACAGATTAGTATCAAATGCACATGGTGCAACAGGGATACTACTGCATCTGCAAGGTCTGTGCAAATTTGTGAAGAGATACATTGTCATATTCTACATATAATGGACTGCTAGACCTTACTTGTAGTTACACAAGCTAAAAAGAAATTTCAATAATATTATTTATTCTATCAGTCTTCAGAGATAAACACAGAACTGAAAACTTATCAATGAGGTGCTCTCCACACCTAAGTCTACTTTTCCACAGAAGCTGCTCTCCACACAGCTTAGAATAAATAAGCTGTGTGCCAGCAGATCAGAACACACGCAGTGACAAACCGAGCGGTCACCCAATATCAAACCTAATACCTAGTCCATTCATGATTTTCTCTCTCCTTATATCTTAAGCATATATTAGATACTCTGCTACACTACCAAATGCTTAATAGCTAGCAGTTTATCACTGGCCTACCCTACTGGTCTTCAAGTTGTCACAATGAATAATCATTCCTGTAGTTTCAGCAAAACGCACCCTAAACAGCTTCCTGTTAAATTTTTAAGAATGAATGTAATAAAGGACCTCTCTACATTGCACGGAAAACTTGCAAAAGACATCTGTAACCTTTCAAGAAAACGTTTTTATTCAAATACCTGCCTGGCCTGTTTGTCAGTTCCTCTATTTTAACAAGTTGATTTCAATTTTCATTTATAGATGAAAGCAGAGACTTTTAACCAGCTCTAGAACGTAGTACAAGAACAAATAATAGAGATAATATCTGCTAGAGATCTAGCAGATAAGCACCGCTATACAAGGAACTGACAAAACCCCAGAACAAAGCAATTCAAATTCTTCCTTGCCTCACTTTCTTCAAAAATGCCAATATAACACACTCTGTTGCATGTTCAGATGATCAGACAAGCTAGTTCACAGCAGAGTTCTTGGAGAATCAAAGCAGCTAAATAGAACAGTTTTACCACCTGTAAAATAGTACCACCTGCCTTGACCCTTTTCCTCTCTGAGGAAGGAAGCTCTCTTCTAAAGCTGAAAACCTCCCTCCCTTGAATTCAGAGTCCAGCTTTAGCAGCTTCACTGCTACTTCAACCACAAGCGTTACATAGGAAAAGCACTAGTTTTAAGCAGGCAGATCACCAGACCATTCAGACCATACGAACATGGGATTAAACAGGCAGGTCGTCTTTTCTATAGACATTCAGACTATTTTGTACACAGTTACAATTCAAAGCATACTAATTACAAGAAAAAAAGTATTTCTGAGTACACGTCCTCTGGGCTTAATGGGTGTCCATCAGTTCCACTGATGGCCAGTCTCACTTTATGAAGTCAGCAGGCTAAATATACCGTATGATAAATACACTTTCACTACTTAGGTACAATCAGACAAATAACCCATGATAAAATCACTGATAACACGACAAACTCACCTCATCGTCACTGTCTGATGTCTCAGAGTCTGAAGATGCTGTAGGTTTGCTCACAGGTGGCTCCTTTTCTTCAGAGTCACTGCGTTTCCGTTTGGCCAATGACAAGAGCTCCTGGTGTGAAAAACCATATATTTATTTTAAAATGGCATAATTAGTTTTACCAACCCAGGTCAGTACACATGCACTTTCTCTGTGATATTTGAGTACATCCCAGTAACATGATTATCCCCACTGACTAAGAAACAAAGTCTACTTAGGTTTCATAAATATATATACACACACACAGTTCTAATACAACTGGATGCTACAGAAGGATTTTGAAGATAACAAGCTAGAAGTAGTAAATACCACTACCATTACTTTCTTGGTATAAATGACATAAGACAAATTACTTTCAGAGTCACGTCCAGGTCCGTTTTATAAGGATTAGGTAATAATTCAAAAACATCCTAACTACATCATGTAGCATTAACCCAAAAAGCCAAATGCCACTAGAGAGCAGGAGCAGCTCCTTCTTCTAAACAAAAGAGATGTTTGCAATTATACACTTTAAAAGGGAAATACTTTAGGCATCACCACAATGTCAGGGCTGACAATATTTAGTCAGCCAGTTCAATTCCTTTTCACTGTCCCTACAAACCACAGAATGCACTTAAAGCTTTGGATAGACACCGGGCAGGCATCAAGCTCAAAGTTTGCAAAACTAAGTAGAGCTGTTCTCCAAAGGAAGCACTTGCAAAGGCAACACACACCAGCACAAAGAACTAAATGGCTCTCAAATAATCTCATCATCTGCTGCTCATAGCTTGTTCAGATGACAGAAGCAGTAGTATAAACAAACACTTCTGAAGCTGCATTACTGTCTTTGTAGTCCATGACACATAATTTATTCTTAAAAACATTGCTCTGGGGCTGATGAACCTTAGCTGTGAGTAGAAATACAGTCACACCAACTTCTGCAGTCTTGAGAAGCCAATACTAGATTGGTTTGCATTAGTTTTACCACTGGATGATTATCTCCGCAGCAAATGGGCTACAATTGAGTACCTCAAGTAAGAACATAAGCACTGCAGAAACTGACGGCCTAGGCTACTTACCAACAAAGAAACCTTCCATTAGTAATGGCATTTTACAAACCTTTCTCTGAAGAAGGCATGCAACATCAACAGAGCACATTTGTACAATTAACAGTTCTCTTCAGGAAGCTCCTGATGTTTTCTACAATCTTTTTGATAATTTCTCTCTCACGACTGTCTCTAAGTAGTCCTTCAACCCAGATTACCTCCCTGGATGGTATCTTGGCATATTTACCACTACTTTTATTCCAAGCAATTTTCGTTCTTTCTTTCTACCCTTGTTGTGTTTTCCAAGATACTGTATTACAAAGGCTCCTATTCGTTTGATTCAACCAGCCTGGATTGCCAAGGGAAGCTGTCAAACATTTAACCTACAGGGGCCCCATTCAGTATACTCTCATCCTTAAATCACACCACAAAAACATTGCTTCCCAGGTATCTAATCTTCATCCTTGCACATACATATCCCTGTTATAGTTGCTACAAACAGCTCAGTGGAGGAGGAAGCACCTACTACTCGGGTACAGATGCAGGTGTATGCTTCCAGGGAATGATGGAACAGATGCAGAACCATGCAGTTATTCCTACCACCATCACACAGATCGCCTGATCTATGCTAGAGCTGGTCCAATTCCTTCTACTTTCAAGCTCTGACGAAACTACCAAACTAATATACTAGTGGTGAGATGATGGCAGCTCTAAAGACTCTAGAGGCATGCGAGATCAACAACATCAGGGCATGCTCTGCTCCAGCATATTTGTCTAACAGAGCCTCTGATTTGATTTTTCTGAAGCTCCAAGCTGCAAAAATATTTTTTGAGTGTTTAGGAAGGCTTTTTATTGCAACATAGCAACGGCTTCTATATTAAAATCCCTGAAGGTCCAGCACATAAATTACAGCAGACATGTAGGCTTCAGCATATTTAACCAGCCAAACTTCTCCCCGGAACAAGCACTGCCATACAGGCTGTAGCACACTTCACCTATAATGTTTTTTTGTACCACTTGAATCACATCATCGACACCTGCTACACCGCAAGATGAGTCTTTGAAAGCAGCCCCCTCCAAAGAGGAAGATGCCCCCTTTGCAGCCCTGACAGTGTTAAAGTGATGCCAGACATCGCACTTCCAATCCCAAGAGATGCCCTGATGATAAATAAATACCTCCCCTTGTTATACCTACAGGCTCCTAACTCTGCACGCTTTCCCACCAACAGACCTCCCCCAGCTCAGTGGCTAAGATTGAGGAGGGAGCATTAAACGCGCATTAACAACCCCGCCTGGAGCCCGCCTGCCCCGAGGGGCTCACCGGGTCGGCGGGAGGCAGGGACCTGACACGCTGCTCTCCCTAACAGCTCTCCCGGCGTGCGAAAGCAGCGCAGGAAAGTTGCCCAGCCCTTTGGGCCTCTTCGCCCGCTACCCGAGGGGTGACGACCGCCGGGCAGCCCGGCCCCGCTCCTCCCTCCTCAG